ATGGAAGAAAAAGAGAAATCGAAAGGAAAAAATTAAAATCCCTTAAAACAAATGAAAATAACAATATAACAAAACTTAGTGGTTCCAAAAAGCAGTACTTTTCTATCACTAATTATAGTAGAGAACAGAATAGCAAATAATATGATGCACCTCAATGACATATAAAACCAAACCAAAATTAATAAAACAAAAAGAAACAACAAAGATTGGAGATAATACAAAAGGTCAATGGAATAAAGAAATGGAGAGGGGATATGAGCTTGGAGGGTGGAGGCTACTCAGAACAACCTTGGGTGTTGGTCATTGCCTTCTACCTTGTTTGCAGTTATATTCTCCAATATAGTCAGTGGGAATTTTTCAGTCTCTCTCTTCCATCTTACTATAGGAGCACTAAGAATAATAGAGGTATACAACTATATATGAGTTTACAGAGGACTTCTAGAGAATTAAATTCAAGTCCTCACACTTGCTCATTTGTTTGCTTTTTTCCTTCAAATATAAAATCAACAAAACTGTTGGGTTTTTTTTTTTTGATGTTATATGCTTTTATATTTTTAATTTTTTATATTAATTACAGTTTATACACTTTGTATCCCAGCTGTAGCCCTTTCCCTCATTTCTTCCCAATCCTACCCTCTCTCCCTCATCTCCTCCCATGCCCTTCTCCACATTCACTGATAGGGGAGGTCCTTCTCCCCTTCCATCTAACCCTAGCCTATCAGGTCTCATCAGGGCTGGCTGCATTGTCTTCCTATGTGTTCTGGTAAGGCTGCTCCCCCTTTGGGGAAGGTGAGCAAAGAGCCAGCCACTGAGTTCCTGTCAGAGACAGTCCCTGTTCCTCTTACTAGGGAACCCACTTGGATACTGAGCTACCATGGGCTACATCCAAGCAGGGGTTATAGGTTATATCCATACATGGTCCTTGGTTGGAGTATCAGTCTCAGAAAAGACCCCTAGGCCCAGATATTTTGGTTCTGTTGCTCTCCTTGTAGAGCTCCTTTTCCCTCCAGGTCTTTCTATCTCCCCCTTCTTTCATAAGATTCCCTGCATTCTGCCCAAACGTTGGCTATGAGCCTCAACATCTGCTTTGATAAACTGCTGGGTAGAGTCTTTCAGAGGCCCTCTGTGGTAGGCTACTGTCCTGTTCCCTGTTTTCTCCCTCTTCCGATTTCCATCCTGTTTGCCTTTCTGAGGGAGGATTGTTCATATTACCCAGGGTTTTCCTTCTTGCTTAGCTTCTTTAGGTGCACATATTTTAGTATCTTTATCCTATATTATATGTCTAATATCCACTTATAAGTGAGTATATTTCATGTCTTTCTGCTTTTGGGATACCTCACTCAGGATGATCTTTTCTAGATCCCACCATTTGCCTGCAAATTTCATGATATCCTTGATTTTAAGAATATGCAGACGAGTGTTCTATCTGCATGTAGACCTGCAAGCCAGAAGGGGGCTTCAGATCACATTATAGATGGTTATGAGCTACCTTGTGGGTCTTGGGAACTGAACTCGGAACCTCTGGAAGAGCAGCCAGTGCTCTTAACCTCTGAGCCATCTCTCTAGCCCAACAAAACATTTTTAAAGGAGAGAAGAGCAGAAAATTTAAACAAACTACATACATACAAAGAAAAACAGTAAAAAACCAAGCTGCTGAAAAGGTATCATGAAAGCAATACACTGTATAAGAGCTATAAAGCAAACAAAGAATGTTCCAATCTCACTCATTAAAAACAAAACAAAACAAAGAAACAAATCTAGGAATAAATTTAACAAAGGAAGACAAAGACTTAAAATAAGATTTTTTTTCCCTTTATGTTCATATACTAAGAATTACTACTGCTAATGTTAAGGGGCTAGAGAGGTGGCTCAATGTTTGATAGTGTGTACTGCTCTCAGACAGTACCACAGTTCAGTATCCAGGACCCGCACGGGTAGCTCACCACCTCTTGTAACACCAGCTCCAGGACATCCACACCACCTTCTAGCCTCTATGCGCGTACAGCTACATACAAATATTGTTAATGTCCATATTATCCAAAGCAACTTGGAGGTTTGATGCAATGCCTTTCAAACAGGAATGATACTCTTAACAAAACAAGAAGTAAATCCTCAAATTCTCGTGGAAGCACAATCAACATCAAATAGTGAACGAGAATACAGAAAACAAGAATAGCATAGTATCAGACTTCAAACACAGCACTAAGCAATAGAAAACAAAAAATACTGGTACTAACATAAGAACAGATACATAGTGACAGAAGAGACAATGACTCCCTGAAAAAAATCCACATCTATAGTAGGCAAATTCCCAACAAAATGCTGAATCTACTGAAGAAAAGACAGCCCTTTAATAAACATCGAAAGAAAAATGGATATACGCATGTATCTCTTACCTTGTACAAATGATCAAAGACCTGAATTTCCAAAAATACTAAAAAAATTCACAAAACATAGAGGACATGCTTCAATGCTGAATATAGGTTGTATTTGAATACATGCCTAAAAACACAACCAATAGTAACAGAAATAACAAACACAACTAAAAGCTTCTATACAACAAAGAAAATAATAAAGTGAAGAGAATAAGAAAATTTTCAACTATTCATCTAACATAAGATTTACATCTATAATAAACTCAGTGATCAGTACAAAAATTCCATGTAATCCAATAGAAAGAAATAGGCAAATCATCAGAACACTTCTCAAAAGGTAGAAATACAATAACAAATAAATGTAATCTTAATACATCTAGCATAATTACTCAAAAATATTAAAATAGTAATAAGATATCATCATAGTCACCTAGGAAGTCAACTGTCAAAAAGAGAGACAAACCAAAAATCACAAAAAGCTGACAAGGATGTGCAGGAAAAGACACTCACAATCTATAGGTGAGTTGTAATTTGGAAGAACCATTATGGAAGATATATGAAATGCCTCAAAAAGCCTAGAACAATTGGGTGTGGTTGTGCTCTTTTATCTCAGTGTGGGTGTGTGTCTGTGTGTGTGTGTGTGTGAAAGAGAGAGAGAGAGAGAGAGAGAGAGAGAGAGAGAAATTCAAAGTCAGCCCTGGCAACACAGCAATATCCTATGAAATGAAATACCCAAAAGAAAATGAGACATGCTAAGAACAGATCTGTATGAGTAAGTGACTCCATTATTTGGAATACAAGAGTCACTGCTTGAACCATTATAAGTGTATCTACCAATGAATGGATAAAAATAAAATGTAGTATATGTACGAAAATGCAGTATTAGCCAGTCATAAAGATTAATCCTGTCCATTGAAGCAAGACAGATGGAACTGAATTACCTCAAATGGACAAAACAGATACAGAAAGACAAACAATGAATTATCTCTCTTATGTCAACCTAGGACAGTGCGGATGGTTCCATGGGCAGAGTACACATAGGCTCTGAGTTGGATTCACCACCAACTATACATATGTAGACACACACATACAGAAACTTGGATCTCAGGGTTTCATTGGGTAGCCAATCTAACTAAAATGGTGGGTTCTATGTTCACTGATGAGATTCTCACTCAAAAATTAAGGTAAAGAACAGAGGAAAATACTTCAATTTGGCTTCTAGCTTCCAAAGGGAACCCACAGGTGAGCACACCCTTACATACTGAGGCAGAAACATGGAACATACAATCTAAACATAAAATGATGGTTAACAAGAAGTTAAGAAGAAGAGTATTGATGGAGATCTAGAAAAGGTTGGATTTTCTCAGTGTACACTTGTGTGCAAGTATGACAGGACACTGAATGCCATTAGTATAGTCTATAAAAGTACACATGACCAAATACTGAGATCCAAATCAAACAATTATGGCATACTATTATAATGGAGCACTACACACTCATTCAAAGTGCAAAAGAAAATCCAACAGCATTCAAAGATGTTGAAATAATATGTTTTTAAAAATCACAAAACGTGTTCAAAATGTAAAATAGACATTGTATATAATAAGGGAAAAAGTTTAATTAGTAACAGGAAAATCAACTGTGTAATTTTAAAGGAAACTTTCTTTGTATGGCTCCAGTATTGGTTGCAAATTCAGAGACCAGTATGCTTATTTTCAGAAACAGAACATACTCAGTTTATGACATTAGGCAAATGTGAAGACTCTTTAAAGCTGCCTTGACTCCCATTTTTATTCTGGTAAGCCAGTTTCCTAACTACCCTCCCCTATGTTGCCACACAATGAGAGCATTTCTGTCCTGACACCAAAACAACAGACCCTTGTCAATTTTTCTGCAACCAGCTCTCCCAGTACTTTATCATTTAAACACAGACCAAAGGTAAAAGCTCTAGGGCAACTTAACAGTTCTGAAACTGCAGTGCTGACTCCCTGAAAGAAATAATTATGAAAGTTCTCCTTACAAACGTACATGGAACTATTTTTCCTCAATATTATTTTTATTTCTTAATTTAATCACTTCAGTTTGAAAAGATGTGCAACAGAGTTGAAAGATTTCTAAAGCAACAGCTTTTCTCTCTGCTTTTACAAAGCCCCAATGTTTCATTTGCTTCTTTTAAAGTTACTTTATCACATATTTCTACATCAGTGCCTGTTTTATGTGTGACTAACAATCCCGCAGGTCAAGGGGAAAACAGCCATGGTTTTCTTTTGTGTGTGTGTGTGTGTCTTCCTTTATCACATTAAGAAAAGTCTTCCCACTAGTCAACTGCCTGAGTTCTCAGACTCCCATTCAGTCACTATAAGGCAAGAAAATTCACAAATGTACCTAAGAAGCTACAGCAAATACTTACTTTAATTAATTACTTAAAGCAAAACTAAAGCTAAAGCAAAACTCCCACAGATTAGAGGATTTCTAATCAATTCAAGAGTCAAATAGAAATGGGTTTTTTAAAACCCTGAATGTTTATTTTACCTTAACTTCTACAGTAGACACCAAAAACCATGTAAGTTAAAGATATTTAATATAAAAATCAAGGATCCATGAAATAATTTGAAGCATACTCACTGAAAGGTAGTTATTAATATCCACTCCATCAGTTATGGTTTGGCGCTCTCCTTTATAGTTAATCTTCCGAAACCTTCGTCGAGACTGTCTCGCAGGAATTTCTCTTTGTAAAATACTATCTTCATTATCTTTGGAATTCTCTACCTGAAATACATGTTCACATTCCTGATTAAATATCCAGTTTTTCCATCTTACTGACAGTCTATGAAGTCTTAACAGGCTCATTAGGAAACTTCATTTACTTCTGCCAAGAAAGTGCCTGAAGAAACAGTCTGTACAAGGCAATGTTCTAAGTTGAAAAAGATTAAAGACAATGTTTTTATAAAGAACTAGAGACCACAGTTTCCTTCCAGGAAACTGTCTGTCTTGAGCACATAAACATATATCCGCTAAGCAAAGTCTCTTACCAGAAATGAATGCTGCTAACTACACCTACACATTCAATAATTATAACCTGAATGTTAGTCTAATTACAAACTGCTTGAATATGCACTTATTTTACAAACAATCAAAGCTATCATTTTAGTAAACTACAGAAAAGCAAAGCAAAACTATTATTCTTTGATAGAAATACTTTGATGTTCACCTTAATGCAGGAAGATAGTAAGGATGGCAACTTTTAAAAACAACAACAGAGAGACTGTTATGGAGACTACTTAAGATGGACATGCACACACACATATGTATTTCATTTTACAACATTATCTCCAAGTATTACCATCTCTAGGCAAAAAACCAAAATGAAAGCCCAAGGACCGGTGCATTTCCAGCTCAGAGTGACCCTTACTGAAGGAGAGCTGGCAGGCCTATCTATTTGCAAAACCTGTAATGTTGACATAAGATTGCTATACAATCACAGAGAATATATTACTGTAAACTAATAATATATATTTTAAATTATATGTATTTATGTGAGTGTTCTGTGTATATATGGTGCACTCCAGAAGAGGGTATTAGACCCCTTTATAGATGGTTGTGAGCCACCATGTGGGTTCTGGGAATTGAACTCAGGACCTCTGGAAGAGTAGCCAGTGCTCTTAACCACTGAGCCATCTCTCCAGCTCCAACTAACAATATTTTAAAAAAGATTTATTTTTCATTTATATGTGTGCTTGTTTGTGTGTCTGTGTGAGTCAATACCACACATGTGCCAGTGTCTAAGGAGGCTAGAAGAGGGTACTGAATTCCCTAGAGCTGCAGTTATGGGTGGCTGTGAACTGCTCTATGTGGGTGCTAGGAACCAAACCTCAGTCCTTTGCAAGAACATTCTCTTTAGCCCTGAAAATTTAAATGTTTGTGCAAATGTACACTGGTAAGTTCTAAACTATACTTTATAACTAACCTAATATTCAAGAAATGATCTAAGTTTTCTCTACAACTACTTTTGGTACTAATGTCACATCTCTCTGCTATCACAAAATACGCTCTAGGCAATGAATTTAACAATTCAGTCAACAATAAATTTCCAGCCCCATGCTCATCTCCTAAAGATCAGACCCATTTCTCAGGGGGGGCAATTCTGTTTGTACATGTCTCTCTCTGAATGCCCCTTCTTTCAAGGGCATCATCACTATCAATTTTAATTTTAATCACTTCAGCATAGAACATATCACTAGCGATCCTGCTGCTTTAGACAAGTTCTTCAATCTCATCCTGTAATGAGCTAGACTACCACTTCATCATGTCCGTTTTTCTAATGCGATAACAGACTGGCAATATTAATTACATTAAAAAATTCATTTGATGTGTATTAGTGTTTTGTCTGCATGTATCTCTATGTACTACAAATATTCCTGGTGTCTGCAGAGGCCCAAAGAGGACACTGGATATCCTGGAGCTGGAGTTATAGACTGTTTTGAGCTGTCCTGGGGTGCTGGGAACTGAACTTGGGTTCTCTAAAGAGCAGCCAGTGCTCTTAACCAGCGTCATCTCCCTAGTCATCTCCCTTGAAAAAATTAAACTCTTATAGCTGACATTCAAAGCCATGTATACCTCCATCTCCCCTAACCTGTTTTCTATTTTCAAAACAGGTTCTTGCTCCATATCTGTTGCTGACCTTAAACTTGCAATATCCTGGCTTGAGTCCCAAGACATGCTTCTAACTTCATCTTAAACAAAATTGACCTTGGAAAACCAACTGACCCCACACTCCCCAAGTAAATCATCTTTTATAAAAGCTCTAGAGATTTGTAAAATTTTGTGAAGATTTTTCTAACAGTTTTGTTCTGTTTCAGGGGTGAGAAGTTCAAACTGAGGAACCGCCTTGTTAGTGTTAGCACTCATGCCTTTGTAAATAACTTAAACTTGTCTATGAAGTAGTTTTATAGAGATGACTTACTGTGTATTATCCTTCCCACTCTATTGTCACATGCTAGACACCATGAAAGATGGACCTCAAGTCATTCTAGGCACTTACATGTAGATCCTGCCTAAAAGACTGTTTTTTTTTTTTTCCCTGCCAACATGTTGGTCTCTTACACATATGACTGATGATTACACATATTAATTCTGATTATCATCCTAAATAGATTAAGAATCACATAGGGGATTAAAAAAAAAAAAGACGACCTTGGGGTAAGTGAGTACTTCCAAAGATGGTTATTAATATAGCATCAGGGCTCTGACCCAACTGATAAGATTAATCCACTGAGGCATAACAACGCTGAAACAGTATTGGGAGGAGGAAAAATGTAGAAGTAGGTGGAGGTACACCAGGAAGGCATGCCCTTTCAGCTATATCTCTTTGGCTTCTTTCCTATTTCTCTTTGCTTGGATCCTTCTCTTATAAGTGTGCTTCACTTATTAGCTTCAGACTTTTTCTTTCTGTGTATGGAGGCAAGACCTCACTAAATAGCCTGAACTGGCTTTGAACTCTTGATATTCTTTCTCAGATCTCCTGAGTGCTGGGATTAGAGGTGTGCATCACCATGACAGGCTCAGTTTCTGTTATTTTCAAACAGGAATTAAAATGAGATGGAAATAGCATCAAAAGAAAAGCCCAAACACTATTTCTTAGGGAGCAGGATGGGAGGAGAAAAAAAAAATTACTATAAACAACCAAAGCAGCCAGAAAAAAAGAAAAAAATAGGGTTCTTTTTTAGTTACTTGCCCTGTTGCTTTTATAACACACCTGACAAAGGTAGAGGAAGGAAAGCCTTATTTTGGCCCACAGCTTGAATACATAGTCTATCATAGTAAGGAAGTGATAAGTGCAGGACAGTGAGGAATGTGGATATTGCTCCATTTCTTCTTTTATTCAGCCCTAGCCCTGAGGCCAGGGTGTGGTGCTGCCCATATCAATAAACTTAAATTTAGAAAATTCATCACAGAAATAACCATTAGTGTTTTTTTTTTCTCTAAAACCTCATCAAGCTGATGATTAGTACTAACCATCATAGGCTCATACTACGAAAAACAAATTTAATCATTAGCTTGTGCTAAATTTCTTTCTAGAAAGTGTTTCTTAACCTTTCTAACCTGCACCTTTTAATAAAATTCCTCATGTTGTGGTGACTCCCTACCATAAAATTATTTGCACTGGTACTTCATAATTGTAATTTTTATATTGTTATGAATTATAAATATCTGATATGCAGGATATCTGAGAAGCACCCTGTGGAAAAGGTCACGACTCAATGGTTGAGCACCACTATTTTAGAACATAAGGAAAATTTTATAATAGAAAAAAACTGGTTGAGTGAATTATTATATTAAAAGACCAAATAAAGACAAGGTATGAATCGCTATAAGAAATGATTCAAAAACTTTTGATGAATCTCAGAAGTCTTACAAAATTCTTAACAGTATTAGAAATTACAGTCTGAGATATCCTGCTCTTTATCTCTTATAAGCTTTTGATTCCCAGATGCATATACCTAATTAGTGAGAAAATATTATTTATCACAACCTCATTTCAAGATCAATTATACTTATTTACTGGACATATAATTTTGATCTTATATAAATGCCTAGGTAAAGAAATAATGATGTAAGGCTTCAGAACCCTATCCTTTGGCTTTTTCACCATCCTGATCAACATTAGGTAGTCACACGCAACATTTATTATCATCTAGCAAGACCCTTCCCCTCAGCAAAGTTATCTGTGCTCTCAACTCCATCATGACAACAGGCTAGTCTTTTTTAAAAAGCTGACACTGCTCCTTTTCTGCTTCCTCATCTTCATCTCCCCTTGCTTGTTCTTTTCAAAATTTCTAGGCTTTCTAGTAGAGAATCCACCTTTTGTTTTATCTGGGTCATCTGTCTACTTTCCAACTTGAAGAAAACACTGACTACTGTAAGGCTGAAAGCACTTTGCTCCTCTTGAGCTGTTTCCTGACAAACATTGGCAATATAGGGCATTACAACTTGAGCAATAGGAGGAGGAGAAAGAAATGTGTTGCCATGTATAAATTCACACCCTCTCACAATAATCTCATGAAAAGGCAAAGCCAGATTGAACAAGAAGTTGCCTATTTCTGAAGCAGTCTTCCACATTGCTCTTCACAGGTCACTTCTGGCTCTGTAGTCTAATATCTATCTATATCCTGGCCAGAAACCATTCTGTTATTCTTTTTCTGCTAAGGCAGCTTGGCAATTCTCTCCTTAACACTCTGAATGAAGAAGAATCCTTTATAAACAGAGCAATTCACAATTTTTGCCATATTTCAACACAACTCTCCTTCCCCATCACACTTCATTGGCTATATGTGTTAAGATCAGAGAATACATCTGTCATGAGAACCGTCCCGCTAGCAGCAGTGTTTGATAAGGTTCCTCACAAAGTTGAACCAAATAGCTAAAACCCAAAACATCTCACTAAAGCAGAGTTCCACTGCCAATATCTCAAAAACTTTGTAAGTAGGTGGAGGGAAGAAGAGATGTGATTTGCAATGTTTAATTATCACTCTTTGTGTTGAGAAGCCTATGGTGCTCAAGAAAGGCAATGTGGCCACAACTGCTCAGGCTCAGTTTCTTCACAAACCAGTTTTTGCATTTATGATTTTTAAAATTCACAAAACTGCACTTACTTATGGGGGCATATTACATATGTACCTGCAGTGTATTTATCATTTTATTTATTGAAACACATTGTCCTATGAGGTAGAAGCCTCACTGTCATGACTAATATTTTGATCTCAACCTTA